ATTACTATTTAACATAATACTGGAAGTCTTCCCTCAGCAATTAGACAACAGAGGTGATGGGCCTTAAGAAGTGTACTTGCTGTGGTAAGAACCGGATGGTGTATGGAAGAGTGTTGAATCATTATTTTGCACCAGAAACTAATATAACACTGTATGTTAACTACCTGGAATTTAAATAAAAACTTAAAAAACAATAACAACAAAGCAATCTGACTCTTGAACCCTTGCTTTTCAAACTATACTCTGCTGTCACAGTAAATATATGCCTTAATAAATTGTTGTTGAGTGAGTAAATAAATGGAGTATAGATTTCTAGAAATGCAATTTCTGGATCTCAGAGCATGAACATTTTTAAGGCCTTTAATGCATATTGCACTATATATATATAAAAGCATATTCAATATGCTTTTAAGTTTTTTAAAAAGACGGTATGGAAAATTTTACATATAATATCACAGCTGTGAAAACAAAGGTGCATAAAAGAAAAATTGAAAGAAACACAACAAGATGTTAAGAGTGGTCATTTTTAATGGGTACACATTCATTGGTGACTTTTTCCTTCCTTCTAATTTTTCCAAAATTTCTGTAATGTGTTTTTATTTTATACAAACAAATTGAATAAATATAGCCTGATTTTTCTGTTATATGTGCTTTTCTGCTCTATAGTTGGTTTTGAAAGCAAACCTTTCTAAGTAAAGAGAATTTTCATGACTATATTGGGTTCTTTGTTCTCTATCAATCTTAAAAAGGAAGATAGAATCATAGGCAATTTGCCTTCCTGACATTATTGGAATAATTCATTTGATCTAACCCCTGGTGCTAATAAGCATTTCTGATAGTTTCCATCTAAGGACAAAAGAACTATTGTACTCCTACATCCGTTTGTAAAGCACTTTTTATTGACTGGTTTTGCAAAGACTTTATCAATTGTTTCTCAAACAATCCTATGATGTTGTAATAAGTCCCACAAAGCCTTGGATATACACACACCTACGGGAAGGCAAATGTTATAATTTGACATATTAACCTATGTATTTTATAGCCCAGTACTTGCTGATAGTCCAGCCCTTTCCCTAGTTTTAGCAGCAGCTGGGGTGTGCCATTGACTGCCTCAGGGAAAGGACAGTGTAGCAGAACACAGGTGTCAGTGTTTGGCATAGGACTTTTGAAAGACTAGGCATAAAGGAGACCTCGAAAGAGCAAAGAGACAAGAAGGAGCAAAGTAGTCCCACTTCTTCCCCATCTGGGTCCACGGGCTGCGAAGGGGGGGAGGTGAAGTTCAAGCGAACAAGAGAGCTTAAAATGTTAACAAAGGAGCTTCCTGGATAGTGTGGCTCTGCACCCCAGATCCCAGAGAAGTTTGAGGGATCTGAGGGAAGAGAAAACCCATGCTTTGCTTCATGGATAAAAACAGGACAAGCCTCATATGGTATGGGAAGCGTGAGAATATTTCCAATGAGCACAAATATAATGATGACAAGGAAAGAAAGGTGACCAGATGTGATTAGTCCTTAAGCTCACTCTTTCTTCAGCCAACTCCAAGCTGCTATAAATTTTAGTTCTAGAATTTCCATTCAGTTCTTTTTTATAGTTTCTCTTTCTCTACTAAGATTCTGCACCTACCCACTCATAATTACCCTTAATTTTTTTTAACCTAGTCTCAAAATTGGCTTTTATTGACTGCATTTTGGGTTGGGTTTTTTTTTAATTTTTTTAAGTTTTTTTACTTTTTTATTTCCACCTTTATGAGAGAGGGACTGCTTGACAATGGTAGTATCAGAATTGGGTTAAGGGATGACAAAAATCTAATGTCAAAGCAGTCACTTGAAGTAGGGCAGGGCATCATCTCGTTAGAAATGGTGCAAAATATGTGATGATCTCCAATCTTCAAATAAGAAGGATAGTTACAAAACCCTTATGGAAAATATAAGAATATATCTCCAATCTTCTCCAGTCTCAGACAACTGGCAAGACCTGTCCACTTGTTAAACAGTAGAACTGGAAGAGGATTTAAAACATTAGCATCAAACTCCCTGCTTTCTGCCAAGAAAGACAGTCTCCTCCAATGATTAATTTTTTCTAAATAAAAAGCAGCTTTCTTGAATTTCCTAACATAAAGGTAACACATATTTATAGAAAAATCAGCCAAAACAGGCAGGCATAAAGAAGAAATTACTACTAACATTTTGCTGAACATCCTTTGAGATGCTGCTCTGTGCAAATATTTATGCATATAATTTTATATGAATGAAATAATATACATGATTTTAACTCAATATGTGGTAAAGATTATTATCAAGAAATACAGAGACACATCATCCTTTTTAGTGACTATATATTCCCTTGCATGGGTTGTACCAAAATTTATTAAACCAGTCCTCTATGGAAGGACATTTAGTTCTAGATTCTTGCAATAATGAACATTTTTCCTGCTGTGTGTGTGTGTATGAGACAACTTTGTGTATTTTCCAGATTATGTCTCCTTCAGGTAGTACATTTCTATAACATTATTTCTGGGCCAAAGCATATTCTAAGTTTGTGATAATTAATAAACCGAATGGGTTCACCAGAAAGGTTGTACCCACACTCACACTTCCATCAACAGCGAGCCCCTTTCTCGCTCTTTGGTCATACTGGGTATGTGTAATCCTTTCAAAATTTATCAATATGTCAGGCAAACAGTAACATCTAAATTGTGTTGTGTGGCTTGCCAATGAGCGCTAATGCTCATTGAGGATGGGTATTGTGCTGGGTGCTCCTTTCTGGCCTTAGATGGACAGTGCGTGCAATATGCAGAGATCTGTAATGTAAATGAGATGGTCTGGCCTCCATACTCCTAGCTTTGCACTAACTTTGTGTATCCTTGGGTAAGATACTCAACTTTCCTGAGCGTCAGTTTCTTGAGCTGCAAATGAAAGACTCGGAATGGGTGTTCTTGCACTTCCTCTCTGGCTGTAATGGGGGTAGAGGTGAGTTCACTGTGAGATCTGCAGTAGACACTGCTGGCTGACTAACCCAATGCCACTCGCAGCCCCTTCTCCCCTGCCTGCCTCTACTCTGGAAGAAGCCGGAAATGTTCAATAGTCCCCTTTGGAGCTAAGGAGTGGCCATTTTACCAAATTCTGGCTAATGGAGACATGAAGGGAAGGCTATGAGGGTACTTCTGGAAAATCAGCTTTACTGATGAAAGAAATAGGCACAAGAGAGAGCAAATTCACAGTAGCTGTGTCTTTCTCACGCTCTGCTTTCTGTGCAGACTTGATGCCTGGACCTGTGGGGCATGCGGTAGCCTTATACTGAGTGGACTCAGCTGAGCAGGATCTGTGCTTCAGAATCCTGGCCAGTTTCAAGGCTAACATTAGCCACAAGAGAAGTGTTGTATGAGACTGAGAAGGCATCAGGGAAGCAGCAGCCATGGCTTTCATGCTCTGAAGGACAATGCAGGGCTCCAGACACGGTGATAACTCTGGTACATTGTCACTGATCTGCCAGCTCTCCTTGCTGGTATGAGGCAGCACGTGGACTCCAGCTGCCATCAGATCTCCTTCAGCTTCTCTGCATCCTAAGCCAAGTGTAAGTGTAGCCCCATGAAGGGTGCCAGCTTCTCCCACAATACACTTGCATTATCAAGGTTAGAGGTAGTGAGAGACACACACAAATCTGCTCTGTCTTTGAAGATTCTAGTTGTTCATGAATTCTAGGTTAGCCATGTAGGTCCCAAGCCTGTATGTGCTTTCATCCACAACCAGCTTTCTACCCTGACCACCATTCGGTCTGACCTATGATGACTTCCGGTTCGATCAGCGCTAGAACCAAAAACAGCAAACAGCTTTGCATGGCCTTCTCCAGGAGCTCCCACAATCATGTAGGGTCGAATGCATCACTCTCCAATAGAGCTTCTGTGATGACCGAAGTGTTTTGTATATGAGCTGCCCCATATGATAGCCACTAATCACATGCATATGGCTACTGGGCACTTGAAGTGTACCTAGTGCAATTGAGAAACTACACTGTTAATTTTGACTCATCTAAATTTAAACTGCCACTTGTGGCTGGTGGCTACCATATTGAAAAACGCAGATCTAGTGCCTAATAATAAATCTCTCATTCTTCATCACTTACAGTGGTTCTGTTTCTCTGGTTGCATCCTGACCGATCTGAGCAGTGACTGGTGACTACACAAGGAAGGACATGTAGACAGCATGCTAGGTATGAAGGGCTAGAGATCAGAAAGAGACTGGGTTCTCTGGGAGGCTCAGCCGCCTGTGACTGTTGAACTTCTTATATGAGAATTGTAGAACTTGAATATAAGAATATAAGAACTTGAATATAAGAACTTCTTATATGAGAACTTTGAACTTGCCCTGTTGGGAGCCTCATCTCCATTCCAGTCCCGAGGCTAGAGTTATCAAGGTGAGCTAAAATATTCATGGAGAGCAAGCAGGCTGTGGTAAGATGTGCTCTTCAGCACCTAATGTTTTCGTTATTCCACCATGAGGACTTTTACCCCTTGCTTATTCCCTATGCAGATCCTTCCATCTCCCAGTCCTTCCTCCTTCCCCACGTGAATATGACCTTCCTTACAGAATGCAATTACCCCCCTTTGTCTGTCACACTGGATTTTGTTTGTTCAAACAGTTTTAAACACCAGCCCATTTTCAGGAGTCTGCAATTGTGACAATGGGGGTGGCGGACAACCACTTTTGTCAGCTCTAGTTTCTAAAACTGGCCATTTACTAATAAGCTTTACGAGGAATCCGTCTTTCCAAATGTGCTCTGCACCGTTAACCTGAAAGAATTAATCCTGAACAAGAGCTTCTTTCAAGACTATGCTTGACGAGAGTACAATGAGCAATGATTTCAAGCTGTGTTCACAAACAATTCTACACACAAGGAACATTTCTTTTTCTTTCTTTCTTTTCTGGCTTGCTTAAACAAGTGGTTATCCGTTATGGTGTTGACATAGGAAAAGGCGAAATGCTGGCAACCGGATCAAAGCAGCAGGGCAACAGACAGCTCAGCGGTGGCAAGGTTTGGTTCCTTGGACAACCAGGCGAGCTTTTCACTTCCTCCTAATTTGGGTCCCGCCCTCTTAGTTTATCTTCCTGAGAATGTCAAAAGAAAGAGAAAAGAACATATTGGTCCAACTGCACGCGGTCTTTGGTGCTTGTTGCTCCCTTCTGATACTCATCTCCCAGGACAGGGTCCTTCTAACTTCTCTAACATTTGGTGAGTCACTTTCCTTTCCTGTTGTTGCCTTCGGTGAATTCTGCGCACACCCCGCAAGTGCCCCGCACTCCCTCCCGGCCCTCTGCTGGGGCTAAACGCGTCCTAGCCAAGGTCGGCGGCCGCGCGGCTTCCAGCACCCAATCCCGAGGGAACGGATCGGGGAGGGGGGTGGGGACACCGCGGGGTCCGAGCTCCCGCCCTTTCTTCTCTCACTCTGGGCCGAGGGACTCGCGGTGCCCCCAAGGGGTGTGACGCGCGTTCCACCTCTTGGGTAGCTGGAGGGCGCTAGCCCCTGGCGCTGTGACCCGACATCTGGGTCCAACCCCCGGGCGGGTGCGGAAGCGGTGACGGCTGCCCCACGGTGCGGGCTCCCGGCAGAGGTGGGTGAGGATCAGCTGCGGAGGCCGGAGCGCCGCCCGGATGCCGCAGCCTAGTGGTGGCCTCTCCGAGAGCAACGCGAGCCCTGGGGCCCAGTCTGCCCTGGGCGCGCAGGGGGCCGGAAGGGGGCTGTGGACTTGGGTCCCTCCTCCTTTCCCTCAGCTTCTCCTGCTCTCAGACCCTCCTCCTCCCAGGTACCAGCCGCGAGAGGAGGGCGCATCTCTCCTCTCGGCACTCCACCATGGGCAATATCTCCGAAGACTCCTCGCGGGAGGACTGCAAGTCTCTGCAGTCGCTCCCCTCCGGCGAAAGCCCGGCCATCAGCTCGGTGATGTTCTCGGCCGGGGTGCTGGGGAACCTCATCGCGCTGGCGCTGCTGGCGCGCCGCTGGCTGGGGGACGCGGGACGCAGCGCAGGACGCGGGAACTCTATCTCCCTGTTCCACGTGTTGGTGACAGAGCTGGTATTCACCGACCTGCTTGGGACCTGCCTCATCAGCCCGGTGGTGCTGGCTTCCTACGCTCGGAACCAGACCTTGGTGGCCCTGGCGCCTGAGCGCCGCGTGTGCATCTACTTCGCCTTCGCCATGACCTTCTTCAGCCTGGCCACTATGCTCATGCTCTTCGCCATGGCCCTGGAGCGCTACCTATCCATCGGGCACCCCTACTTCTACCAGCGCTGGGTCACGCGCCGAGGCGGCCTGGCGGTGCTGCCCACCATCTACACGGTCTCTCTGCTCTTTTGCTCCCTGCCGCTGCTGGACCCCGAGAAGTACGTCCAGTACTGCCCTGGGACGTGGTGTTTCATCCAACACAGCCAGACCACGTACCTGCAGCTCTACGCCACCGTGCTGCTGCTCCTCATCGTCGCGGTGCTCGCCTGCAACTTCAGTGTCATCCTCAACCTCATCCGCATGCACCGTCGGAGCAGGAGAAGTCGCTGCGGACCCTCCTTGGGCAGCTGCCAGGACGGCCCTGGGACCCGCAGGAGAGGGGAAAGGGTGTCCATGGCGGAGGAGACGGACCATCTCATTCTCCTGGCTATTATGACCATCACCTTTGCGGTCTGCTCCTTGCCTTTCACAGTAAGTAAATTCGCTTCGTTTCCGCAGCCCCGCTCTGAGCAGCCTTCTCACTCTCTACCCTCCGCCTCCCACACTTTCCACCGTCTTACCTTTGCAATTTGTAAAACCACGTTCTGATTCTTGAGGTCTAGAGCCTTCTCCTCTCGCTTCTCACCTTTGTCCCACATCCTTCCTCCCCTAACCTTTGATGGCTCTGTGCTAGTGTTTCTCACACCTAGAATAGTCCCCCTGAGAGGGATCCTTGACCCTCTGCTAAGCCGGCCCAGACCCCCAGCCTAGAGTTAAAAGGGGGAGAGGGATAGGTCCCTGTCCCCCTCTGCCAGCCTGGCTGCTGCCCGAGGAGAGGCAGCCCCTCCCACCTGTGGATGGGTATCAGCTACAGCTTGACTTCCCTGGGCTGCAGTTCACCTCTAGGTGTTCCCCACCCACTGGTGCGAGCTCTCCATGCTTTCGCCTTCTCCCAGCACAAAAGGTGGTGCCCAACACCCAACCTTCCAGCTGCCATTCTCACCCTAGGTGAGAAACATCCCTGTTGGTAAGTTTAGAGCATTCATTACTTATCCTAAAAGTTCAACAATCACAGACTTTACCAGTTTTCCAATTTACATATTAGGAGCATAACCCTTTGGGGCCCTGGAAAAAAAAAATATGTGGACATTATATTATGTCCATAATGATAATTAAAGGGAAAGATGGTTGCTTGGAGAAACCCCTTGCTGAACTCTTGCAATTCCTCTAAAGGACACATTTGTACTTCCTTATGAAATATCCTCTTCATATAACTATCAGATATATCTATAGGTGTTCTTCACCTTATAGCCATGCATTTGCTGAGCACAAAGCCACATACAGGAATGGCTGGTCCATCTTAGGGATGGGAGAGTTAAGCACATCCAGCTTGTTCCGTGACCCAGCAAGCCAGAGGCTGCCCCAGGGAACTGAAGACAGGAGCCCGGGTTTGGGAATGGCTGCTGTCCTAGTCTGGGGCAAGCTTAGCTGTTAGTTCTGTGATGCTATGAACTGGAGCCTCCCCAGGTGTAACGCAGGTAACAGAGCCCCAGATGTGTCTTAGCACGGCCCCTTACCAGAAGCCGGGGAGGAGGAGTCTTGGTAGTCCCGCTTCCCACTCTTCAAAAGAACAAGACTGACTAACAGGAAGTAAGCAGTTGGCAGTGATTCCCTCCTGCCACAGTCTTGGAGAAAAGAAAGAGATAGTCAGTGCCTACGTTACCAGGTCTGACCGTAGAAACTGAAGTAACTTTACCTCACTTTTGGCCTCCATCACTGTTGATTATCTTCATATGCTCCTCCTCCAGGGTGGGAAAGGACACTTGTCCTCCTAAATGAACTGATTCATAACCATGTTCTCTTCTCCCTGGTCCCCATTGTCCTCACACTCCTACCCCATTCTCTGTCAGGGCAGAGGCTGGTCTGAATCCATAAGGACAGGAAGGTACCCCCTTATGAAAGGAGGTAGCACTATGGGACCTCGCCTCTTCCATTCCACCCTGAACTGGGGCATTTGTATAGCAGAAAGGCTGTGATGTAGAAACCAGCATGACTTCTATGCATTTCTTTTATTTTACTAGTAGAAACTTTTGATGTCATGTTAGGAGTTAAATCAACTTTTTTGGGTCAGGACAAAGATGCAGAACCTGTATCTATGAGAGAATAAGCATTTCCAGTTCCACTAAACAACTTAGAATCCAACTTAGAGGCCATAAACCCCTTCCAAGTTGGGCAGTGCCGGTCTTAGCCTGATGAGTTCTTGGAGTCTCATCTGTGATTTCTGAGTGTGTATTTAAAAACCCCCATACCCCCAGCCACTTAAATAGCTTAGGAATGGGCTCTGAGGGGACCACAGACTTGTGAACAGGGTTATTATTCCCTAAGCTCTTTAGAGGAAGAGAACAGGAGGAAAAGATCTTTCCTTTGATCATGACTAACCCATTGCATAAATATATTATCAAACATAAAGGCAGTGATTTTCAGCAGGTTCCCCTGTTTTCAAGTAAATTTGCCTTTTATCATGGGAACTCAGTCATTGCTATATGTTGATTTTCAAGTCTCCCTGTGTAAACACACACAAACGCGTGCACACACACACACACACACTTACATGAATATTTATTCTCCTCCTTTATTTACTGTTAAGGGAAGCTCCAGAGTTGCCAAATGGAAGGGGCTTAGAGCTAGAAGTCTGGTTAGAAGGAGTAGGGTAGTAGGAGGTTTGCTTTGAAGCTGTGTTTTTATTTACATTGTCTGTTTATGGCTTGAGGACACCAGATGAAGATTATGAGGGCCCCTTACGATAGTGGCATTGACACTATCAGCAAATATTATCCAGATTTGCTTCTGAATGTATGCATGGCAAAGATTCTCAAAGAGTAAAGGAAAAGCCTAGAGTGAACATAATCAGAAAGCCAGACATGCTCATCCTTGCCTTGGGACTAACATGACATATTATCTAGATGCAGAATGGGTAACTCACCAGGCCCCAAATAGATATTTGAACTGTACCTTGAAGTTGTCTTTTAGTAAGAAAATTTACACTGACCATTGACTAATTTTACTTTGTCAATAAATTACTGGTACTTGTTAGAAACTTCCATTTACATGGCACTTTAAACTTTATAAAATGCTATAGTATCCTGATTTTTGCTATCTCTTGGAGGACTTATCTGATGATTCCAAAGTCATAGCTACTATTTGGTGCATTCATTCTGCTATTTCAGAATGCTTGCCATGGGCGCTCGGGGAGGGGCACTTTCCCCTCATGTCCTTTTCGTCTACTTGGTCTACGTGAAAATTGTGTAGAAATGGCCTATACTAATCTCCCACACAAGGCAGGAATAATTTCCATACATCCTAGCTGGGATGCTGTTAGACAAGGCAAAGACTTGTGGTTGTCTTCAGAAATTCTCCCGTTTCTCCAACAGAACATACGCAGTCCAACAGAAGTACAGTTGAGCCACATATGGAATTTTAAATTTTCTATTAGCCAAACAACAAAAAATAAAAAGAAATGGTAAAAATTAATCAATATCTTCTATTAAGCCAGTATATCTAAAATATTATCACTTCAAAATGTAATCACTGTAAAGTGATTATTAATGAGCTATTCCAACTAATTGACTTCCTTGTTCCCAGAAAGTGCTAGCAATCTACTCTATCTCTGTCTGTTTCTTCCTCAGGATTACAGAACTGCTTTCTATGTCCCTCGAAAGTAGGCCACATCACTGGCCCAGGAAAGAGGAGATTTCACAGCTGTGTACCCAATGGGGCACCAGCCTTTTCCAGCACTCCAGTAGTGAGGGAAGGAGGAGAGTGGGGAATTTAAGAAACTGGATATAATAGTGTCAGTGTTATCCCAAGGGAAGGGCAGGTTAGAATTACTGCTTCCTCCAAGAACACCAGTCTAGGACTTCCAATGTTTGGCAGTAAAAACTATCAAAATGGAAAATACCAGCACCCTGGGATGAAGTAAAATTCAACCTTCAAATATCATTATTATCAACATCAAAATGGCTAATATTTTGAGTGCTAATTTTTATATACACTAACCCATTATCTCCACAACAACCTGCAAAATAGATGGTACTGCTGTTTCTTTTTTACAGATGAGGCAAATAATGCCCTGGGTCCCCCAGCTAGTGATCACTGGAGCTGGGGTTCAAAGCCAGACAGTTTAAAAATGCAGAGCCTATCCTCTTAACCACAGTACTCTCAGAGGGAAAAGTACTTCTTTCAGGGGAAATGTGTTAAAATAGTAATCCAAGATTTCACAAAGGAATGGTGAGGATGTTATAAATATCTGGATCACTTTGTCTTGATTCCAACTTGTTAGCTTTTTTTTTTTTTTTTTGAGAGAGAGAGCATGCGTATGCACACCCCAGTGGGGGTGGGGGAGGAGCAGAAGTGGAAAGTATCCCAAGCAGACCCCGGGCTGAAGGGTGGGGAGCCCAAGGAGCTCTATCCCACAACCCTGAGATCATGACCTGAGCCAAAACCAAGAGTCAATGCTCAACTAACTGAGCCCCCCACAGGCCCCCCACCTTATTCAGTTTAAAAATAAAATGGCAAAGACCTTTTTTCCATCCCGATCAAGGGACCTGAGCTGGGGCCAAGTGTGCGGTTCCTTTTTTCTTCTCCACGGTCCTATGAATTGAAAGGCTGAGACCGAGATTGAAGGAGATTGGCTAATATAAATGCTGGTCTAAATTAAGAAATAATCAGATTACCCCTCACATAAAATCTTCTGTTGGTACACATAAAACATTTCTTATGCTATTAAAAAAAAAGTATGTTGTGGTTAGGAAATGGCATTATTTTGGCTGCCCAATATGAAATCATGCATGGAACCAACAACATATTCCAAACTGTTTATGTACTAAAGAGATAGTGTATAAATTAATGAATCCCTCCTTATGTTGATCACCTGTTGCCATCATTTCACTGGGATAAAAAGAAACTTTCTTCCTGAAATGGGACAGAACACAGAAAATATATCAGACCTCTCTTCTTGCCTCAGATACTGTTTGTGTTTTAATTTTCAACGCATGTCAAATTACTTGGTTTCTACTTTGCCAAGAGCTGTGGACAGCTGCTGGTCATTTTAAACTGCTTTCTCCTTGCCATTAGAATATTTTATTCAGTTCTAAAATTTCAAAAGTGAACTATTGGCTCATTCTAAAATTGTCTTCATCTTTAGAAATTCTTTAGGGCTGTAATTTCTAGGCAAATCTGATTAGTAGAAATATGATCTTCAAAATACAGAACAAACTCAAGTAAATAGTTCTGGAGTTTCCTGTTCATTCCTGGAACTCTTCATATAAAATGTAACGTGAATGGGAATTGTAAAACATATGAAATTTGTTGATTACGTACATGCAAAATACCACAGTTCTAGTAGGGATAAAAGAGAAATTCAGAACTCTTCATGTATAACCACAGTGAATTTGCTGGTAATATTTTAAGTTATTTCCATGAACTACTGGAAACCCCTTTATCATTTCTGCATCACCAGTGATATGCTTGGGGATTGGTGAAATCATTTTAAAGCAAGTGACTTTTAAGAGAACATTCCTCTATATGATTGCTTTCATTCGACACCTTTTCCTTTACCTTTGTAAAATGGTGGTTGTGAGTAAAGACCCAGTTACACTCAGTTTTTAAAATTTAGACAGCAAGAACTATAGTCCTTCTCCCCCCAAAAAACCTGTGCATTATGTCTACACCATTGGTCACGTCGTTCATCACTGCTGTTTCAGATGATTAAGGCCAGGTCCTCAGCTTAAAGAAAAACAGCTTTTAGGGATGGTGTATTTCTTTTTTTGGCATGTCAAGAACCCATCACAGTATTAAGTTAAAAATAAAGGGGGTGCCTGGTTGGCTCAGTCGGTTAGTGTCTACCTTTGGCTCAGGTCATGATCTTGGGGTCCTGGGAATCCAGTCCCACATCAGGTTCCCTGCTCAATGGGGAATCTACATTTCCCCCCCACCGTGCCTCCCCCACTCGTGTTCTCTCTCTCTCTCATAAATAAGTAAAATCTTTTTTTTTTTTTAAAGAATGGAATGGAATAGGATAGGATAGGATAGAAATGGTAAGGGACTGATCTCCAGAGATATGGTGCTTTGGAAGACAAGTCTCTTGCTGCTTAAAGGTTTAAGACCCAGTTAATCTGCAACTTGGTCTGCTCAATTTCCATTGGCATCTCCTGTCCTCTATTTGGTACTTTCTGACCACGAAACCCCATCCTTATCTTGAGCTCACATCCACTGTGCCTCAGTTTATATGACCAAAATATACCAAGCTTCATTTTTCTCAGAATAATTTGCTGCCTAAAATTGGCCCCCTCTAACAGAATGCTAGACTGAAGTTGTCTGCAGTTAGGACACATGGGGGATGGGAAGGGCCAGGAATAGGGAAAGTGCATTTGCGGAAGGCCAAAACTTCCATGGACAAAGGTTCCTCCTACACTCCACAGACAGCACTTGAATCACTTTGAAATCATTTGTAAAATCTTGTGTTCTGGGGAGGGTCCTTCGTGCTCATCATTTTTTTCAAAGAATTAAGAGCCATCACCCTGGAATATACAAGCCCAGAACTCTAAACTTTAGCATTAACTCTCTTATGTCCAGCCCTGGGATCACCTGAAGCACAAGGAAGGGAACAACACTCTTTAGTACCAGAGCCATATCTATGCCCCAGTCTTTTTTTCCGAAAGGACAGAGGCTCCTGTTTCCTCCACCACAAAGCACCTGGGATTTGAGGGAAGGGATGTCTTTAAAACCTCATATACCTGGAAAATACTGTCCCCACAACTTTTATGTTAAAAAAAAATTTTTTTTAACTATAGCAGACACCACATTTTTTTAAGAATGGATCATATAGGGACGCCTGGGTGGCTCAGTCGGTTACATGTCGGCCTTCCACTCAGGTCATGATCCCAGGCTCCTGGGATTGAGCCCCGCATCTGGCTCCCTGCTCAGTAGGGAGCCTGCTTCTCCCTCTCCCTCTATTCTTCCCCCTGTTTGTGCTCTATCTCTGTCAAATAAATAAACAAAATCTTTAAGAAAAAAAAAAAAGAATGGATTCTATAAAGCCATAGTGAGGCCACCTGAATGTCTTTCACAAGGCAGGTAAATACATGATAATCTGTGCCTGCAATTTAACTGTGCAAAGTGTGAAGGAGAGAGGGGGTGCCAGGGTGGCTTAGTCGACTAGCGTCCGAATCTTCATTAAGACCGATAAATCTCTGACCTCTACCTCTGAAACTAATAATACATTACATGTTAATTAATTGAATTTAAATTAAAAATGCAAGTGAAAATTTTTAAAAAAATGTTTTAGTAAACATCAATTGTATTTAAACACACATATAAATTATACATGTATAGCGCCATGCAGACATTTATTATGTAGATTACCAAAACTGTGTGAAGGAAAGAAGAGCCCCAAAGAAAGACAAGTAGATATAGCCATGGTTTTTAAATCGATAAACAGGAACAATCATACCCACAAACGTTTGTGACACCTTTGCAGAAAGGGCTCTCACTAAACCATAATCAGTTAGTGGTGAACTTCATGTGAGACTTTACATCACAGGCTTTTTTTTTTTAAGATTTAATTAATTTATTTGAGAGACAGCACAAGCAATGGGAACAACAGAGGGAGAGGAAGAAGCAGGCTCTCCACTAAGCAGCGAGCCCCCGGACAAGGGCCGTGATCCTAGGACAGCTTGATCCCAGGACTCCAGGATCATGACCTGAGCTGAAGGCAGATGCTTAACCGACTGAGCCACCCAGGCGCCCCACATCACAGGCTTTTTATGTAGATGGTGGCAGAGAGTGTAGTGCTTAAAAGGAAAGTTCTGGTCCCACTTCTTGAGTGTGGTTCCGTGACTTCCCTACTTACCTGGAATGTGATTCAGGGCACGGTAACTAATATTATAGGCCCTGACTTCCTCCTTTCTAAAACAGAAATTAACATTATTTTGCAAGTTGGTGTAAGAAACAATAAGGGCTGCCTGGGTGGCTCAGTGGGTTAAGCCTCTGCCTTCAGCTCAGGTCATGATCTCAGGGTCCTGGGATCGAGTCCCACATTGGGGTTTCTGCTGGGCTGGAGCCTGCTTCCTCCTCCTCCTCCCTCTCTCTCTCTCTCTCTCCCTCTCTGCCTACTTGTGATCTCTCTCTGTCAAATAAATAAAATCTTTAGGGAAAAAAAATTAAACAATAAGACCTATAAATTGCTTAGCCCCGTGCCTGGCACACATAGGCCTTCAGTAAATATTCACTGCTATCTCCATAGGGTTCCATTTCCAAAGGAAAATCATATGGCATATTAATAACCAGAAACTGGATTCTGCAAGCTCAAAGTCATTTGTTTGACCAGGCCTAAGCGGGTCTTTTGATTTTAATTTAATTATATATATATATATATATATATATATATATTCATGCACACACACACACACACACACACACACACACATATAAAGAATGTAGCCCTGGGGAGGGGTAATCTCTTCACAGCCAGAAAGATTTTAAGATATGAAAACAACTTTATATACAAAAAATAAAAAACATAGACAATATAGTTGCACAACAATATAAATGTACTTAATGCCACTGATGACACACTTGAAAATGGTTAAAATGGAAGATTTTATGCTAGGTATATTTTACAATTAAAAACAATCCCAGGGGGTGCCTGGCTGGCTCAGTTGGTGAAGGGTCTGCCTTCAGATAAGGTCATGATCCCAGGAGCCTGGGCTCAGCAGGAATTCTGCTTCTCCCTGTGCTTGTGCTCCTCTCTCTGTCAAACAAATAAATAAAATCTTTAAAAATGAATACATAAATAAATAAATAAAAATAAAAACAAACTCAGGATCTACAGTATCAAAAATGGTGGACTCTAGGCAAAAGACAAGAACCAAAGGGAAAACATGGGGAGGTAGGAGAAGACAAAACTTACATGAGGAACTTCAAGGGTCAATTTCCCAGTGTCAAAGAAGAAATGGTCTTCTACAAAATCTTGACCACCTCCTGAAATGCAAATTTTAAGCATTTCTAAAAATTACCCAGCATAGTGGTTGAAAAGGAAAAGAAACAAATAGCACAGAATTGCTCCATCTTCTAAAACCATTTTTCACTTCTCATTGCTCTGTCACCCTCTAACGAGATCAGGAACTATGATACCACAGAAGTCATTTACCAATGAAAACCTGACTCATCTCCACGTGTGACACCGGAGTGCTGAGCCTTCTCCCTATTGCCCAGTATGGCTGGCCAGTTCACTGTCATCGTATGCTGTGGCGAAGCTCGATCATAAATTCCCCTGCAGACTTTTTCTCCAACAGAGTGGCAGTTGTATGCGTGTGTGGTAACGAATATACTTGAATCTATCAGACTTCTGTACGCTCTCATCCCGAATAGCTAAACTCCCAGATCGCTTCTTAGGTATACCATATATGTAAGTATTGTATATTTCTCAGCCAAAATAGTTTGGCTGACAAGAAAATGATTGCTTCTTTGCATGTTCCCCCCAACTTTCCCCTTCTCTGTATAATCAGGGAAATCCACCATCGCTTCTTCTTTTTCCTTGCTCATGTGCCAAGCCTTTCCTCCATTCCCTATTCCAAGATTCTCTGGCATAAACACCTATGGCTGCCAAACCTTCCCGCTCTTGTCTTAACATAAGCAACCCGAAGATGACTACTCTTCTCCTTCCCTGCAATGCACTTTGTATATCCAATTGCCGGATGGCTGCAGAATAAGTACCGGGGGAAAGGAAATAAACCATTCCTTTTTCTGGCAAAGGAGTGTGGAGGAATGAAGTCGTAGCTCTCTAAGGCACAGGTTCCCATGCGTAAGAAAGTCCCTAGAGCATTACAAAGAAATTGGTTTCAAAGATTGTGTACGAGGGGCACCTGGTGTCTCAGTCGGTTAAGCATCTGCCTTCAGCTCAGGTCACGATCCCAGGGCCCTGGGATGGAGCCCTGAGTCCAGCTCCCTGCTCATTGGGGAGTCTGCTTCTCCTCCCTCTCCCCCCAACCCCTACTCCTATGCTCTCTCTCTCTTTCTCTGTGTATCTCAAATCTTAAAAAAAAAAAAAAAAAAAAGATTGGGAGTGATTTCCATTTGTTTTCCTCTTTCTGTAAGCTGTGTCATGTTTGATCTTTATCGAGCCTGTACTTTTCTCTTCCTTTCAATCTGACCAAAAAGCTGCATTGATCCCAAAATATATAAGGAATCACAAAATAGCTGGTATACCCATTTGAAAACAGCAGTCAGTGTGCAAAGATGTGTCAGGTTTCCAGTATTTGGGACATTGTTCTAAAGGCCTTTGTTCTAATATAGGCTATCTGAACATGGCCCATGGTTGAGCCCTTTACTAGTTCAAGGAAGTTGGAATTCATGTCCTGACTCTGCCAACTAAGCAGCTCTGGGAACTTGGGCAAGTCACCTAGCTTCTCTGCATGTTGGTGTCCTCACTGATAATCTGGAGGTTTGGACAACATTGTGGGGTACTTACTGAGCAAGCACTGTTTTAATTTACGTACACATACTACTTCCTGTCATCTTCCCAACAAACCTAAGTAGGTACTGCTCTCATTATCACCCATTTTAAAGATGTAGTAACTGAGGCACAAAGAGTTTAGTTTTCTTTCCTGTGGTTCCAGAGCTATATATGCATCCAGGATTGAAACCCAGGCAGTCCCATGTCCAGAACCCATGCTCTAGGTACCTTTTTTCACTGGACTGTGATAATTAAATCAGATTAAATATTTGGACGTAAATGTAATATATAGTTATTACCTCTCCTGAAGTTCACTTTCTCATCTGTCAAAAGGAGACAATACTTACATTTCACAGGTTTTGTCAGGAATAAACATGGAAATCTACAGAGATTTCACTACCCATCTGTCACCACCCCTGGCCCACAAAAAAACACGTTTTGCTCTTAAATCCTAAGAAATTGCACACACTCTAAGCCTGTGTATGGCTGCAATATAAAACTAATATCATTTTTCCTCTTTGCTTCTTACAGATTTTTGCATATATGGATCAAACCTCATCCCAAAAAAACAAGTGGGACCTCCAAGCTCTTAGATTTTTATCTATCAATTCAATAATTGACCCTTGGGTCTTTGCCATCCTTAGGCCTCCTGTTCTGAGACTAATGCGTTCAGTCCTCTGTTGTCGGGTTTCATTAAGAACACGAAATGCAGCACAGACTTCCTGTTCTATACAGTCAGATGCCAGTAAGTAGATTGACCTTCCCTGACAGTAGTTAAAAAGTGCTTCGTTAGCCAGCATCTGGAAGATCATTTTGAAATGGCTGCATGGAGAAATGAAAAAAGTAAGTTTACAAACCCAACGACACTCTCCTAATAAAACAGAGTGAACAAACCTTTCAGCAGCTGCTGGGGCTACAGAGGTGCTGACAAGGCACTTCATGGAAGTTGTCAGAAGGATCTGTAAAACCTGCCCTCAACAAGCAGGTCAATGAGGTTGGTCTTTGGAGGAAAAACCAACTACGTTCAGGATCCAGTTGCCTTTTGATTTAAACTTCCCCGTTGAGTGAGAAAGCATGTGGTTTTGAAATTTGTTTAAAACCCTAAATAGTTACAGTGTTTTCTATTTTAATCTTCTATGCTACTGCCGTTATAAACATGCAGCGTGCAGTCAGACCAAATGAAATTTCGTGTGTCTCCTCTAGGAAGGCCATGTGTGGAAGCAGCTGAGACTGGTGTCTTGTGTTGCTTAACAAACCCTTTGTTTGGCCAATGAACTTGGAAATCACAGGCACTTTGTACCGTTCTATTTGTGTATGTGGGAGGTCTCTCTGGTCACCACGGTATTATGCGTGAACAGTGGGCTCAGCTGGTTAACGTCACCTTTTCACTAGTCCTCTAGAAGCTGTGTGTCAAAGTATTAGGTATTTATTTTATAATGTCCATTGTGCTAAGGGTAATCAAGAACACTTATGGAATTTTCCTCTCAAAGAGAAATAATAGGCTATTAAAAGAGTTTTAATTCTGATTAATACTTTTCACTCTCTTTCCAGGGAGGGGTAATGTGGCCAAATATTAGAATTAAAAAAACTCTTCTATTGCTCATGTTGAGGCTGTGACTAATATCTACTTGATAATATGACTGTCTTGTAGCAAAACTCATGCATCTACATTTTTATCCAGGAAACACAGTTTGACTCATACTATATAGGAAATCATGCAATAGTGAGTCATATCTTAATATGTTTCTAAATCTAAACGTTTAGCATGGTGTAAACCTGGCATCAAAATATTTCAGTGAATTTGCACTCTTTAATCATCTTAGTTACTGTGTAAACTCATCTGAAATGTCAGGAAAATAAACTATGAAACAAAAATGGAAAATGGGATAGTATTTGATGAATTACCCCAAATAACAGTTTCTAGAGTAGATATAATATTTTTAATAAGAGAAAAGTGGAAAATTATATTTATTTTGGCAGGCAAGTTTGTAAAGTGTGGTTGTATTATAATTTAGATGTCAAAATATTCAATATAGTACTTGGTATTAGAGCATTTTTTTCTTTCCGTACAGCATGATCTTCCAAACAGTAGAACCACCTTATTTATTTATTTATTTATTTATTTTGCAGTGCGTGTTATTACAGGATAGCTGTTATTAAAAAAAAGAGAGAGAGAGAGATGCTAGTTTTTTCCAAGGTCTCATTGAATTGCTTACGCAAAACCATTTCCTATAAGTAGTTATCAAACTAGATAATCACTTAAAGTGATTCCAAACCAATCTAGCATCAGACACAATCTATGTCAAATCAGCTCTTGTTTTTAAAAGAATAAATAAATGGTTTGTTTTTCTACTGATTTAAACAAACCAGGCACAATTTAATTTAACTGAAATCTGGACATGTAAATAAATCTTCCCTGGATACAAGTATTCTAAAGTTAAGAGATTGTTCTAAATAGGATTAATTATGCTCATGGGTAATTCCTAAACATAAAATTCTGAAGTTACTCTGAAGCTGGAAGAGTGATTTCTTTTATCAAATGACTATTTTTTCCTCCAAATGAAAAAAATGTTAACTACAATCCTTCACTCCACCTTACCACTGCCCCAAAATTCTGGAATAATGCCTGAGAACTTTAAAAAAAGAAAAGGCACACTTGGACATAGTATCACTGGTAGGAACACAATGATTCACTCTGGGGGCCCAATATATAAGAATTTAAGCCATTTATTTAAGAACTGGTAGATTTCTAGTGCTTTGTTTCCTCATGTACTCCTGTTCCTTGCACTATGTTAAATGGCTAAATCCTGTTGTTTTGTCTGCATATACATAGTAGGATCTGAACGTAAAAATCCTATGTAATAGTCAATCTTGTATTATTAATGGCGACTTAAAGGTAATGGAAAAAATTACTTAGAATAGATATGTAAATATTTCTTTTCTAAAAAATCCCATCCCATCAGATATACCTGTTTACACTTGCTGACTCGTTTTCAAATTAAATAAAAAACACAGAGCTGGGGCTGGTATATTAGAGAACTGAACTGTGATTTTTAAAAGACAACAATTTTATTCGTTGTCCCCAATAGTCGGTGGGACGAAAAGGGAGAAACTACAGTGGGTTTTCACTTCAGAATGCCAGCCCTCACTTTGGGTGTCCAGGAACTGGATGGGCCAGAGTAGTCAGCCCTGAGCTGAATTGTTTCCAGTTCCCTGTGGCCCAGGTCCAGGGGGAACTGGGAAATTCCGGTACTAAAGTGTGGCTTGAATCTCCAAAGATCTGATAGACGCTATAGAAAGCCTCCAAAAGACCTGAATTTCAAAGAGATTTGGACGCATGACAACCCAGAGCCAGAGCAAAGCTCTAGAAGCAGCGCCATCCCAAAACCACCATGTTGGCAGAGACTATAAGCCCTGTGTGGCGGGCAGGGAAAATCCAGTCTGCATCACTACATTCTCAGTGTAATTCAGTTAAATTTTTGGCATCCCTGTCTGCTCATGCCAGCACACTTTGAAAGGGTTGTTCTAATGTTCATGTGATATCAGCTCTGATTGGAATTGAGAAAAACCCAATATATTCAGGTTTAAAATTTGATGACATTGAAAGGCAGGGGAAGACAATTAACTTGCACTCATGTAAAGGTTTGTTTCTTTAGTTAGCCCAAACTCATGGTTTTCTGAATTCAGGAAGATCCCCCACTTGAGCCATTTGCAGACGGAGAAGCAGTCTTCTCAGCAAATGAGAAGTTTCTATATGTGGGCGGACAGTGCCTACTCATGTAGGTGGTGTTGCAACTTAAGTCTTTGATGATGGGTCTTCTGCCCCATCACACAATTAACTTCATTGGATTTCCTCCCTGAGAACACATTTATAACATAACTCCAATCATCTAACAGCATTAGAATTGATTTTTTTAATTCACAAAACATTTTTATTACCGTACATGCACACTATGGAAATAAATATTATTTTAGCAAGTCACAACAGCTCTAGCCTATACAGGGGACCAAGGACATGGACTGGGCATTAATTTTTAGTGCAGAAAGTTACTTTTTTTGGGGGGTATTCTTTTAATTGTTTTAATTCTTTTAATTCTTTTAATTGTTAAGTAAATTTTCTTGGATTATATATTTTTTTATTCCCTATAAAATGAATATACTATTCAAGTCCAGTTCAGGTGGTTTAATTCTGTGATCCAGGTGCTTCATTTCTAAAATCTGCCTCGAGTCAAATCAGTGTGAAGTTTCCAGCAAAAAAAGAAACAGCATGCTCCAAAGGAGTAACTGAGGACTACTGAATGAAAGGAATATTTACAGAGGAGTGGACAAAGTTAAAGGAATGAACAAGGGAGGGTGATACGTCCCTCACAAGCTTTACCACTCCTCAGCCTGACAGGACAAGGGAGGTGGGATCATCCAACTGGAACTGTAGCCTTACATAAGGAAGTAAGCACAACCATTGCCAAACCACAGGGAGGGAACAAGGGAACTACGTTCCTGGAAGATCTCTCCTCCTACTTTCCACTCTTCTGCCTGTTTCTCCCATTGGCGAAACCCAACTGTAATCCACAGAGTCAGGGGAGCCTGGGTAAAGTAGACCATGAAGGCCTTACTACACAGGGCGAGTAGATTTAGAGGGGAAGTGGAGAATATCCAGCATAAGCAAATGAAAAATTTGTTCTTTCTTTTTTATTGCACCAACACAAAAATTGTAACCACAGAGTGAGCAGCCTCTCTTCCTGCCTCCTACTCCACATATCCCCTAACAGGCTTGGGGTATAGGGATCAGCTCCATCTGTATGAAAGGGGGTAAAATACTATAGATTCCTTCATCAAAATATTGGTCCTAAGCCCTGCTCTCCTGTGGCTCAGCATTTATATTTATCTAACTTTTATATAATTGGAGAAAGAGAAGGGGGATCAGACCAAATCATCTTTGTATTTCCCCTGCCCATAGCAGCATAGCTATCTCTAGAGAGAACAAAGAGAGGGAACCATGTACTCTGGTCTAGAAATGAACTGGAGCCTCATTTTTAAGGAGGACCACTAGAGCGAGAAAAAAATAACCTCACTTAGGGGCACCTGGGTGGCTCAGTCCATTAAGCGTCCAACCCTTGGTTTTGGCTGTCATGATCTCATAGGTTGTGGGGTCAAGCCCCATGTCAGGCTCCACGATCAGTGGGGTATCTGCTTGAGGACTCTCTCCCTCTGCCCCTCCACCCACTCATGCTTTATCTCTCTCATAAATAAATAAATAAATCTTTAAAAAAATAAAAATAAAAACCTCACTTAACAATGCAGGGCTGGTCATTCCCAAATTCAATAGAGCAGGGATGGGTCTACACAGCTATGATAAAGAAAGAGTATATGTAGCAATTCTGCATAATTTTAAATGCTGACAAAAGTACAGGGAGAAAGCAAATTTTAGCAAAATGGTAAAAGAATAGACAAAGTTTGACTCCCAAGCCATCTGTCAAAGTTACCCTTTCTGCTACCAGAGGATCTGTCTATATTCTTCCTTTACTCCCATCCTTTCACCCCTTTTCAGAGCTCAACTTTCCAACACAGACCATCTCTTCACTGCCCACCACTGGGTCCCGCGTCATTTTCTTTTTTTTTTTTTTTTAAGATTTTATTTATTTATTTGACAGAGATCACAAGTAGGCAGAGAGGCAGGCAGAGAGAGAGGAGGAAGCAGGCTCCCTGGTAAGCAGAGAGCCCGATGTGGGGCTCGATCCCAGGACCCCGGGATCATGACCTGAGCCGAAGACAGAGGCTTTAACCTGCTGAACCACCCAGGCACTCCCTGCGTGATTTTCGATGCGCACACTCAACCTTTGTCCTTTCAGCAAACTCTAGATTTATTCAGGGGTTATTAAAGATTGGCCAGACTGCTGAGACCTTTTCAGACAAGTTATTTAACATCTCTTCTTCTTACTTTCCTTGTCTGTAATAGAAGGATAATGAAATTATCTACCTCTTCAATTTTTCTGAAACTCAAAGGAGTGAATACATGTGGGACCTTCAGCACGGTGCCCTGACATGGTAAATTCGAATAAGGTTAGGGATTAGTATCATCTCAAAAGCCCAGTTCAGCAGCCCCTGACCTCTTCACACACCTCTGGCTCGGAGCGCTCATTCCTGGTGGAGGTGGTGGTGCTTGGGGTCATGGCATCTATTTGTTGACTCTGGGTAACTGTCAAGAATAATGATGATAATAAGCATGTCAGACAAGTTTGTGTTTCAGAGAATGCAGCGTGGATTGGCACACACGGGACAGTGTAGAGGAATGTGTAAGCTTAAAGAGAGGAGAGCAAGGAACACAGAAGGACAACAGGACACATAACATGGCTCCCGTCCACTCAACAGAGCCAAGTAGGGGAGCTTAGAGGAGACAGTACCTGAAATATTACTTGAACAGGACATGTTATGTGTTGGGAAACACACTCTGTTACGAAGTTGGAACTGAGGGGCCACTGGGTCGCTCAGTCAGTTAAGGGTCCAACTCCTGGTTTCAGCTCAGGTCATGGTCTCAGAGTTGTGAGAACGAGCCCTGTGTAAGGTTCTGAGCTCAGCAGGGAGTCTGCTTAAGATTCTCTCTCTCCCTCTCCCTTGCCCCTCCCCCTGCTCACACACACACACTCTCTCAAATAAATATGATTTCATTTACTTATTTGAGAGAGAAAGAGATTGAGAGTGAGGGGAGAGGCAGAGGGAGAAGCAGACTCCCTACAGTGTAGGAAGCCTGACATGGGACTCGATCACAAGACCCTGGGATCATGACCTGAGCTGAAGCCAGACGCTTAACTGACTGAGCCACCAAGGCACCCTAAATACAATCTTAAAAAAGAAAGAAAGAAAGAAAGTAACTGAGAAGATTTCACTTACACATCATCTCCTAAAGATACCCAGAATAAGTCTAACCCATGTGCCACAGACAACCTTTCATATTCCTGAAAACAGCACCCAGGACCTCTCTAGGCAAATATTTCTGATTACTGCAGCTGTCGCTTATGGGCCACCTCACCATTTTGGGGCCTTCCCCAGATCTTATCCGAGTTATCAATGTCCACCTTAATATGCTGCCAGAACCAAACACAAACACATAATTCTAAACTAGTCTTATCAGTACCGAGCGCTGACCCATCAGTTGCTGACTTGATCTGAACATTATATTCTCATTAATGAACCTGAGTATTAAAAGCCTTATTAACAACCAGATCATACCTTTATAACCTTCAACAAATGAAAGAAACACAGCGTTCCACTTTACATAGAGGAAAACTGAGCGTGGGGGTGAAGAGATTTGCTCACCAAGGACATTCTTCTAAGATCCCTCTTATGATTATGGTGCTGATCTTGCCACATGACATCACAGAGTCATTTGGTTTCTTATCAGTCATTTGTCTATAAATTCTTGGATTGGTTCTGTAGACTAGGAATAACGAGCTTTGATCTTACCCACTGAAACTTGTCTTTTGTGTTAAGAACTTGGTCCTTGACATGATGTGGAATTGGATGCTCATGCCGGGGCGCAGAGAATAATCTCTTTCCTTGAAAATGGAACTCACTACTTTGAGTCATCCAATGATATTTTTTGCCAGAATTAACTAACCAATATTCATTTCAGTTTTAAGAGTATGCATGAGACATCATAAGTT